ACCCTGAAAGGGGGAGCATGATAACCCAAGGAGGTTTCAAGGAACCTCAGCAATGCCAGTGATGGAGAGGTTGCACAGACCCTGCGGCCTTGGGCAAGCAGACAGAGCTGGCTGTATCAGCAACTGTGCTCAGGTGGGAGTACTGTTGATAACCATGACCTGACCTCTGGAGGGTCTTCTTTGCAGGTATTCCCCTCTCCCCCACCCCTAGTTACTCCAAAGGTGATGGTATCCTCAAAGTACAGCCCAGGGATGATGTCTACTGCAGCCAGGCATGTGGCAGGTATGAGGGCCACCATTTTCTCTGAGGAACATGTTCAGGAGGAGAGGAGGAGGAACAGGAAGGGGTGTAGAGTTTAACCCAGGGATAAGGACAACAGATCATTAATCTTGAAAGTGGTAGTCAGACCCCTGACTGCAACTAAAGATTCCTCCCCAGCAGCCAGCGGGATGACATTGGAGAAACCAAGGACATGATAGTGATACAGACCATCTGTAAGGTGTTGATGTGCAGGTCTTGTTGAAGAGGTGGACAGTGGTCTAGGTCTCTCTGCCAATGGGAATTTCTTAGGAGGCATACAACCCTGGCACCAATGCACAAGGAAGCACCAGGATTTTGGTGGTAGCAAAGGATGAACCCACAGCTGAGGACATTCTGGTTGCAGCTGAGGTAGTAACTCCTTGGCTGTGTGCTCTTGGGGTAGCCGGTCCACGTTCCCAAATCCCTGGCAGATGGTTGGGAGGCAGATGCTGCTGTAGGCTGAATTTCTAAGGGGGGCTCTTAGCCAGGATTTTCCTGGACCCCTTCTGCCAACTGGTCCTTAATCTGTGCCTCTTGCCGATGCCTTCTTGGTGGCGACAGCGACATCAGTGGTGTGAGGAGACAGGACGATTGCTGAGACCAAGCTAAGGGGGTCTCCTTATTCCTGTTTCTTTTCACAGGCGCCCACCGCACTGTTTTTTGGTGTGCCCACCACTGGGCTAGGGAGAGAATCCAGGAGGTAGACAGGAAATCGAGGGTCACAGAGAGGGGGATAATTTTCATTTTTATTTTTAGAGGGCTGAATAAAGAAAAGATTAACAAGATCATAGAATAGCTGGTGCTGGTAAAGACCTCCAGAAATCTCCAATCCAAACCCCCTGCTCAAAGCAGGATCAATTAGAGGCATTTGTTCAGGACCTTGTACAGCTGGTTTTTGAATGTCCCCAAAAATGGAGACTCYACAACTTTTTGGGCAACTCATTCCAGTGTTTGGCCACCCTCACAGTGATTTTTTTTCCCTTAGTTCAATTGGAATCTTCTGTATTTTAATTTGYGCCCACTACATCTTGTCCTGTCACTGGATATCACCAAGAAGAGTTTGGGTCTGTCTTCTTGACATCAAGTATTTATACATTTTGATAAGCTCTTCCCAGGCACTTCCTTCTTGAGGCTGAACAATTCCATCTTCCTTAAGATACTCTTATATGACATATGACAGATGCTGCCATCCCATACTGGATTTATGGACCCCTYGGTTGGACTTGCTTCAATGTATCATTCTTATTCTGGGGAGCCAGTATGAACCAGAATGAACAACAAAGTCACGGTTGTCAATGAATCTGTTCTTCGGGGGAGAACTAACTCACATCTTGCTCCACCACCAGCTTTTGTGAAAGGAAGCTACCTTGGGAGTYGGTGATTATAATGTAGTGATAAAAATAAAATGCTTTACAATCTGAGTGTTTACAATCTGAGAGTGAAGTGAGAGGAAATAAGATGTTATACTTGAAGCATCTCAGATGTACTCATCCCAGCATTTAGTTGATTTAACACAGTTGAGTTTATATTAGGTCAAGCTTCACTAATGGCTATTTGAAGACACAGCATTACGGGTGTACTGGCAGTGCATATATTTTTCTAAAATTCCTTTTGAAAAGGCCAACAATGAATCTCTCATGAGAGGTGAGGCTGTTAGTTATTATGTTCATTATGTTCAACCAAAAAAAAAAAAAAAAACCTAACAAAACAGAATGACAATGAAAAACTTTCAGAAGCTAAAAGAAAATAGGCTTTTTTATACATTAGAAGTGGGAAACCTGCCTGGGAGTCTATACTGCAAATGGTAGGTGTTATGTTAAAGAGTATGGAAGGAGCACTGAGGGCAGTAGGGGCAATAGTGAAGAATTTACTGGACAAGCTCGAGGAGGGTCCTGTGTCAGCATTTTGCATGATTTGTCTCAAGCTAAAGTACTACAGATGATATACTATAGTTGAATAAAGAGRTAAGGGGAAAAAAGTGCAATGAGTAAGTCTCCATGATCAGGCGATATCCCCAGACTGAGGCCGAGGCTGCTGCTTGAAGCAGACCTGTGCAATCCCACACTGCTAGCCAAGGCCATCCCTCCAGTTTAAGCAGTGTCCATGTTAGGGCCCCCATGCTCTGCTGGAGCTATGGCCTATTACGGAGCAGTGCTGCTGTGACAGTGACTCGCTCTGCTCTTCACTGGGCACCATCTTCAGCCTTGGCTGCTTTTACGTCTTGGTCTCGGCAGCTGGAGGTGTCCTTTGTTTCTGCCTGTACGATGCAGCTTTTCTTGCAGTAGGGCATATGGTGGARGGGAACAGGCCCCTCCAAGCACCGTTATTGCTGTCACAGATGCCTGCAGGTCAGGCTCTTCTCACGTGTTTCCATAGCAGTCCTCCAAACTGGAGACGTTCATTCCTCTCCTCAGTCACGATCTTTAATAAAAATCTTTTCTTCATCCCAATATTTGGTGCTGAAACTCTTTGTTCCTTTTCTCAGGCTGACAGACAACCATGGCATTGCTCATCCTACGGTAGGCTCTTCCTCGTGGTTCCAAGCAACCTTATTGTGACTGGAGAGTTTGAGAGGAAATACATTTTGTSGAGTCAGTCCCTGCTGAGCTACTGCCTTCCTAAAGCTGGCCCTATTTTGACATGCCTCGTTCATTTAAGYGACACTCCTACAGTATCTCACACAAACTCATTCCCTTTGGTGCACAGCCCGCTGCAGCCCTGGTGTGGCCTGTCTGGTTGTTTCCAGCTCTCACCCTCTATTTTAGAGCTGGAGAAGCTTCCACCAGGCAGCATCTATGGCTGAGATCTTTTACTGTGGGATTGCACAGTGTATAAACTGTGGAAAGTTGGGAAGAAGATATTCTGCCCCAGAGYTTCATGAACTGAGCTTAGGCAGATAAGGTTAGCTAGACTTTCCCTGCATCAATCTGTTTTAATTCAGAAGACAAAGTATTTTGTTCCCTTTTGCTGCAGCTATATGCACTGGGGKGGGGAGAGATGAGGATGAAAAAGACAAACCAGATTTGCTGGGTGGGGTGGGGAGGGCATGATACTAAAAGGAAAAATCAATACACTTGTGAAGAGAAGCTGTAGAGACTACTCCTCAGTTTGCTCCAAAGAGCAGTGCTATTCAGTACAAAAGGATGAAAATAGTGGAGCACTCACAGTTCCCCAGAGCACCATACAGGGATAACCACCAGGAAATACTATTAATCCTTGTAGAATACAAAGCTAAACCTCACCCTTGTGTAAGAGAAGGTAATGGGAGACTGTTATTCACTTAGATGTTTTGGCCTCAAAGAAGAGCAGCCACACAGGGCAGAAAAGGCCCTATTTTGCAGGAAACAGCCATTAAGAGGTGAAAATGACCAGGAAATTGCATGCTATGGAAATGGAAAATATTGTCCTCTCAGTAATACACCTCGGAGGAACTGAAAGGGTAGTGAGGAAGGCAATGCCTGCACGGAAGAGCTCTGAGGTGTGGAGGCACAGGCCACATGCACCTACAGGAAGCTTCTCCAGGCAACTGCCTTTCTTCACTTACATCCATAGAGGAGCAGGTTATTCCATTATAATGGACCAAGGATTGTGTAGCAGTATTTTCCAGAATCACAGAATGCTTAAGGTTGGAAGGGACCTGAGAGGTCATCTAGTCCAACCCCCCTGCWCACGCAGGGTCACCTAGAGCACRTGGCACAGGGCTGCGTCCAAGCGGGTTTTGAAGATCTCCAAAGAAGGAGACTCTGATCTCAGAAGCACCTGATGCTTTTCCAAATCAAGTCTAGCACACAGACAGACACAGAGGTCATTGTAACTTGCAAACATCTTCCAACCCCATTACAATTCTGATGGTGAGAACACAAGATGCTCACCTACTTGTTCACCACAGTTAATCCTAGCAGAAGGGAGGAGGCTACATTATTCTTGGAAGCCTAAGTAGACTGGATACTGATCACCAAGCATGAGCTGCAATATACTAAATAAAATTCTGGATCTAAAAGAAAAAATATCCAAACTTTTTACATTAAACATAAATAGAACCATGTTTTTGTTTTAAGCTCGTCATTTCCCCAACCCGAAAGTTGAAACATGTAATATTCCCTATGTTATACTAGTTTTTCATCTTCTTAGTTCTTCATCATCTTTCCACCAACAAAAAGTAACTCTGTCCCATATGCAAGTGTTTATTTGGAAGTGGAATGCATAAAACAAGGAATCGAACAGGAAAGTCTAGTTCATTATAAATGCCTCAAATGCTCTAGTTTTATATTTTTATGACTATATGGGATATTTTGAGGTCATTATCATCAGAAATGCAAGGCAGAGCAGCAAAAAAAACCTCACAGTATGGAAAAGTGCAAGAGTGATTTTTCAACACGCTACATACAAAAATGAATGCTGAAATATTTTAAAAGTACCTGAATACGGTATTCTGGACTTTCAGAAGACATTCTGAAAGAATCAATGACTTGATTATTTTGAAATGGCACAAAAAGGAATGCAAGGCCTTTCTGAATTATTTATATCAGGATGAAACTTCCAAACACTGATCTACTGTTATGAAATAAAAGTCCCAAATTAATTTGTCTCACAGCTAGGAGCTTCTTATAAACAAAACCAAAACAGATACATAGTATAGCAAATATAACTTCTTTTTTTTTTTTGTAGACTTACACATGCTTAATGATAAAAACCAACAGATCTACGGTCCTCATTATTTACAACTAAAAATGTAAAGAGTTTAACATSAAAATGGGTTAAATATCCAACTCAAGACTCCTTTACACTCTGAGCAGCATGTAAGCACTTGAGTAAAACCAGACTGTAGTCCATGACAAAAGAAGTTCGACCCAAGCCTGTATTCTGGGGATGACCCAAGCGTTTATGCCTTTAGGCTTCTGCAACATTGGGCCTCAATAAAGTGTAGTTCATAAAGCAGTTAACAGAGCACAGTAGTAGATCTTGGTTCTGTGAAGTTATTTATGTTTCAAATCAATAGGATGTTGAAGTTAAGCAGCTTTGCACAAACAGGGTGCAACTGAATGAAAACCTTTTGGTTGGCAGTGATTTGGTTAATTCACGTAAAGTCACTGACCAAAGAGACACTAGACTTAGTCATTCAATTCTTGGTTTTGGAATTGAACCCTTTTATTTGCTGCTAAAAGTCACGTGCTATATATTTTATTTATGGTCACTCTTGCAGTTTTAAACTGCAACTCTGTGTTTCTTAGAGTTTTTCAATTCACTGGTGCAGTTTGAATTATGGTACAACAATTCAATTTCAACTTGTTTATTTTTGCTACCTTGATAGTGAAAAGCAGATCAACATAACCACCTTCATAAACTGCCCGGTGCAATATAGATTTCAGAATGTCTACAAAGCAGTTATACCTGTTCGTAAGCAGGGTGGTTATTTTTCACCCTCTTCCTAGGTAACTGTCGAGTACAATATAATAATATTGTATTTAAGCAAAGTAATTCCATTTGAATGATACATGTTCTGGAATGGGAGGGAGAAGGAAGAGATCAAGAAATCGTTCCACTTTCCCTTTGAAAGGTGAGAAAACGGGTCTATTGGATCATCAGCTAACAACCCTATCGTGAGGAATTCAAGATGTGTTAAGAGACATTCTTAGCACATCACAATTTTGTGCTACATGAACACCTGCTATCACATGATATCGGATTTTTTAACAATACAGAATGATTTATATAAACTTAGATATATATTAAAAGAAATCATGTTACTTCCCCCCCCCCCATCTTATTTAAGAAAACAAATCCTCTGCTAGAATGTGGTCTAAGAACATGACCATTATTTGAATTTTACCAAGCCCATCTGTCTCATTATTTCCAATAAAAATTGTTTTAAGCTATGAACTTCAGTTCAYGTACAATTTTAATCATGATTTCTAGAATTTCCACTATCACCTTGTGGTTAGTGTCTAATCCAATGACTCTCCATTTCAACTTTGACAGCCTGCAGTTTGGCAGTGATGCTTCATACTGCTGTAAGACACGAGGCTGTTTTTTCCACTTTCTAGAGCCCAGTGAGACAGGCACCACACAGTTACCGAGTTGTCTTAAGAACATCGATTTAGACATCAGTTACAATGAGCAGGACACTACGTTTTTCACTGAAGAGAAGTTTAAACACAGGATGTTGAATGACATCTCGCAGACTGTTGACCTCACGAGGACAAAAAGAATCTTGAAAGAGAAGGATATCAAAACTAGATTTTGGCAATATAGAAGATGTATTGTCCATGTAGTTCTCTCATAAGCTTTAAAAATACTCTTATTAAATAAGTTTTTCCTTAAGACCAGGTAATACAGGTAACCAGTAAGAGTCCAAGGGTCAGACACTTCTTCAATTTTTAATTATTCTCTGTGAGCTTTCTTTTTCGGCTTTTCTTCATAGGATTCTCCATACTCATTCACTCTGCTCTTATCCACAGGATAAAGCCTGGTAGAAGGAGGAGGAAAAAAAAATTACTTGCATGCACTAATGTCTGCTGGTTTAATGAGATTCAAGCAGTTCAGTGCTACTTGATCTTCAAACTGAAATTCTGTGTCATCCTGACTATTTTACAAGTCAATTCCTTCCTCATCATATTCTCTATTCCTATTTGTGCCCTAAAACCCAACAGTCTTACAGATTAGCTATGGATGTATCAGCTTTTCCATGTTCAGACTTAACCAGCTGTCTCACCGCAGGGCCTCTCAAAGCACRGGAGCATTCCCCTAAAGCTCGCCATATTTCTTAGGCAGTCCAGGATGCTTCTCCCAGTGCCAAGCCCYTGTCGGAAGTTGTCGGGCTCTTAAACTCCAAAATAAGACCTTGAAAACGGTCCGTTTTTGTGAAATTATATAAAGGTAAAACTCAAGTTCTCATTTAGACTTGATTAGTTGTCAACACCCATGCCATCTGGTGCAATGTGAAGGTTCACAGATAAATATTTATTTACACAAGAATACCTCTTCTTTAGCTTAACTTATGCCTAATATTTCAATGGCTACTCTGGAGCAGCGTGCTTCAGCTGTATATAGACAGGCAGCCCCTTGACAAGGGTTAAAAGCGCAGAACTCATATGTGGGGAGTGTGAATAAAAGCTTARGAATTGCTCTTACTTCAAGTCTCTGTCTTTTCAGATTATTTTTATTTTCTTTTTGAAATTTGCAAATGTACAACTTCACCTGATGAAAAGCAAGAGCCTTGATTGGAGATGGAGAAGGGAAAAGTGGCAAGTTCTCTGTAAATGCTGCGAGAAGGAGTTTAATTACTTAGAACCATAAAATGCTTAAAGTTGGAGGGGACCTCCAGAGATCACCTAGTCCAATTCCCCTGCACATGCAGGGTCACCTAGAGCACGTAGCACAGGGCTGCATCCAAGCGGGTTTTGAAGATCTCCARAGAAGGAGACTCCACAACCTCTCTGGGCAGCCTGTGCCAGGGCTCTGTCACCCTCACTGTWAAGAGATTTTTCCTTAAGTTCCTGTGGAACTTTTGGAGCTTCAGTTTGCAGCCTCTAGTCCTATCGCTGGCCACCACTGGAGAGAGGCCGCCCCCTCCTCCTCACTGCCTCCCTTGAGGTATTTATACACGCTGATCAGGTCCCCCCTCAGCCTCCTCTTCTCCAGGCTGAACAGGCCCAGCTCCCTCAGCCTTTGCTCACAGGGCAGATGTTCCAGGCYCCTSATCATCCTSGTAGCCCTGCGCTGGACTCTCTCCAGYAGCTCCACATCCCTCTTGTCCTGGGGAGCCCAGAACTTGACTATTCTCAGCGTGCTATGGAGGATCCAGGAATGCTGTCAGTTACAGGAAGGTAACTTTTGCTATGTTTAACTTATTTGTATTGAGATTGCCTTTTCAGGATCCCCCAGTCTTCCCACTCAGTTGGCATATACACATGTASCATTATCCAGACCATACTATAGACATTAATAGAGTATGTAAAAAAAAAYTATAATCTTTTTAAAGTCTATCCCAAGTTCTTCTGTAATGCTTTACAGCTGCAAGCATTTAGAGTGCTTTAAAAAATGCCAGTGGCTAAGACAGAAAGCATACCATCTTTGGTAAAGATAGACCAGGAACACGACATCGTCTCTAAAGCACGCCAGCCTATGAGATGTTGGCATAGTGATGATAAAAGCGAAAATATCATCAATAAAGGTGTTGAATGCCTAAAAAAGGAAAGAAAAGCAAACTTTAGTTGGGTATGAAAGGAAGCAACCCGTCGTACAAAGCTGCAGGACAGAGGCCTTTTAGAATAGTATTTTTCAGTAGATGCACAGATTATGCATCTACTGCAATATTCAAGAGTTGGGCTGAGAAACTACCCAATGCAAGCTTCAAATTGCCTTCCTTTAATCAAAACTGTGCTCGCTACTTTAAACCACACCACTGCAGACCAGGGGCTGACACAGTCCAAGTTAGAAGTAGAAAGGAAGTAGGACTGCTTGAGGCAAATGAGTATTGCTAATAGCAACCCCCCATATATTAGTAACTTCACTGAAATCTTTAAAATAAAGAGATGAAATATTATAGTCTCTCATTACTCAAAATATTCAGGATTCGCAAAATATCGCGGTTCACATTTTCTGGGTGAAAAAGAAGTGACCTGTATATATTTATTCATTTAATATTAAAAGCACTTACTTGGCATCCATATATCATTTTCAAGTTTTTTACATCCACTAAGCTAGGTAATACTCTTTTGCAAGCAAGAGCAAAATTTTTTGACTTTTCTTTTAAAATGAGAAGGTTTAAATTACTAGACGGCTGCTGGGAAAACAATACAAACAGGCCCCAAGCTACACAGAGATGACAATAATTTGCTAGGGGTTAAAGAAATAAAGAGRTAACTCTTCTGGATCGGACCCTAACCTACAGGGAGGGTTAGGCATCAACCTGGCTTCTCCTTTCGCTACTGGTGGGCACTTAGTCTGGCTCAACTATATATAAATTTCTACCTTAAAAAGGGAAATTGAGGAGGATTCACTTCTGGGGAAAATAAAAAAGTATATGGAATGAAATATGGAGAACTTTGTGATACTGGAAAGTTCTGATTAATTACAACAGGCAGAAATTGTGGCTATGACTGCAAGCTCACAGAAATATAAAAACTACGTTAAGGCTCTTAATTTCAAAATTTCAGCTCCCGTGTCCTAGATTATCAGTTCGAAAGAGCACAACATGTTTTTAGAAGCTTTAAACAGTGCTTATTTTAAAGCACTCTGTTACAAAGACTGTTGATAATGCCRGTGTGAAGGGAGAATGATTTAACATGCTCGCATGGGGCAGCACAGAGAAACAGGGCCTGCTGATGGCACCTAGACCAGCGCCTTAGGAAGAACCCAGCACAACAAAAGCAGCAGTGTGAACAATGCCAGTGCCTCCCGGAGCTGCCACCAGATGGAAACCAAACCCCACAAAGCTGGTAGAAGGTCAAGAAAACAGCAGATCCCAATTCAGGAGGAATTGGAAGAGCAGGAACTCAGGTGGGTGCCCCTTGTTCTCTGCACTGTCACAAGGGCTCCTGACTGGGCTGTTTGGGTGCACCCATTTTGCTGTCTGAATTTGGACACCCACGTGGATGGCTGTGAGAACACAGCTGTGACGTTGTTAGTGAACTTATTTTGTTCCCAAATGAACGATTTTTCCTTTCTTCTCAAGTTTGCTGCTGAGCTTTGCTATTTCTGCAATAACAGCACAAGCCTTTAGAAAAAGTACAGCTTTACTTACTTTGTAGGTGAAAGCCTTCCATGGTAAGTGTGCAACAGATTTCATCTAGGATAGAAAAAAAAATATATATATGAGGCTGTAATAAAGTCTCCAAGAAGAGCCTAGAACAGTTGTCTTATTTAAATCTTACCTTGTAGTTTACAAACAGCTGGGGCAGCATAAATAGGAACCCAAACGCATACACTCCTGAAGATAAAATATGAATAGTTTAGATGTAAATGCACAACATACATACACCAGGCAACTCTATACTTCCAAATTAGAGACTTGTATCTTTCTTCCTGAAGACAGAAGCTCCCTCCAATTCTTTTTGGCTCGCTTACTCTTCTAAATTACTGTAGTAGTTTTGGAAATCACAGTCAAATTATTATTCTGTATCTGATAATTCCAGCTGATGCCAGTTAGTTTTCTACTTTTAGGTCTTGCCCCTAGTTTGAAGACATATGAAAAGAAGWAAAAAAGAGGGTACTCACCATTGACAAAGCTGTTAATCAGCCAGGAGTACCAGCTGCAAGCAAAAGACAGACCTGTTTCTTTTCCACCTCACCCAAACACATCCATCCACAACACACTCACCCCGTGGCCATGGACAGCCAAGGGCTGCCTGATTGCTCAAAGAAATGGCTGTTTTGGGAGATGTTTAATTCTGCAAAATACTTCACACCTTCCTTTCATTACAAAGGACTCCAAAAAAGCACCTAATAGTTTAAGCAATGGACATTTATCAGTGGTATCCAACAAGTTAAGTCTGGAGAAATTTGAGGGCTTCTATATTTTTTTCCAGCATATTCCAAGACTTCTCCAAACTACATCAGCATGTAATGCACACTGACATTAATGCCTTGAAAGGCTGTCACTGTATTTATAAATATTAGTGAGGCTTAACATGGCATTGCAAGGGCTTATCARACTTGAGACAAATACCATTCTGTGTCCACCACTGTAGTACACATTGCTTTTAAAAAGCAGATAGAAGGAATTTACCTCTTCCCCTGCTTAAATATAAAAAAACACCAMAAGTTCAATGCAGCAGAACCCGAGCCAAATAACAAGAGCAGATCACACGGCAGTTAAATTCCATCCTTCCAATTGCAACTGGAATGTTCACACTGCATTATTTGAAACTGAACTTGCAATTGCACAGCAAAGTTCTAGCTGGAAAATCATGCCGCTACAAAATACCTCAAGTTTTTTCAGGTTCTAACCTTATGAATCAAGCTACACAAAATTACCAACCCATCATCTCAAACTAATCAGCACTGAAAAAAAATGTAAACTATTTCGATTCTACATAAAATCATGGATAGATTTACAATACCATACCTCTTGTATTTAACATTCAGCAAGGAATAACCTGCACCTCCAATACAGAGTGGATACAGCAAATATGACAAATATTTCATAGCCTATTAGACAGGGAAAATAATTTATTAGTTCACATTTTATAAGTAATTTTTTCCCATGATGTCAGCTGAAGACACTCATGTAACTTTTTCTCTGAAAACCATTTCTGGTTTGTGAGTATCTACTATTATTTCCACTATGCTTCCAGTTCAAGAGAAGGTAAAAATTCCTATGCTCAGTGCGAGCACCAAAGGTGCTTGGAACATGCACAGGCAACATGACACAGTTAATGCAGGTTAGAGTCTAAGACTMGTTCTCTACTTAACACCAGGGTTCAAATACTTTCATAAATCAGGAAGCACACAAACATTCYTCCACATAAACAGATACACATATCRGCTCTCAAATTTGTGAGGAACATGTAGGAATGGCAACCCATTAAGACAGTCCTCTTGAGATGGGTGTTGTACTTCTGCTTCACCTTAGCTCAATTTCAGCTCCAAACACAGAAGTATCTCAAAACTTTTGAGCATTGCAAGTGTCTCTCATCCATCTATGAATTAATGCTATCTTCTAAAACTTTCCAGTGAAAAAAGAGTTCCTTAACTTAAATCCACACAGAATTCTCAGAGGAAAACTGATAATATCAGGACAAGTAATTTGTTCTCTCACGAGAGTGAAAATAGCATGGACGCTCAATACGCTTGGTCAGCACAYGGCTTCCCCATTCTCAGATTTGGGGGATCATGAACAACTTTCATGAAGCCCACAAGAAGACCAAGAAGTTAACAACACTACCATAGCAGACCAAAAAAGACTGAAGACCACATTTCTGAGAGACACTGCACAGTCTCTCTGGGCAATTTGTTCAAATGCTGAATTGTCCTCAAGGTGAAAGAGATCTTCCCTTTTATCCTGTCTGAACTTCTTGATATGCTCGTGTCCTCCACCACAATAAAGAGCTTGGCTCCATCTTCTTGATAACCTCCCCACAGGTGCTGGGAGATGCCTGGAAGCTCCTTTTCTCCAGGCYGAGCAAACACCACATCCTCTGCCTCTCTTCACAGGGGCTGTAGCATCTCAGTGTTCCCCCCTGCTGAACCTGCTCCCATTTATCAACATCTTTCTTGTAGGGGTCCAAAACTGGATATACTCATCTAGATGCAGGCTAATAAGTGCAGAGGAGAGGTGTATAATCACTTCCTTTGATGGACAGTTACTCTTAACTTGAAGTTATCAAAATACCATCTTACAAGACAGATCAACACTTGTCTAAAACATAATAAAGCAAAAGAAGATCATAAACCCTACATAACTCTACATAAAAGCTTCTACTCTTCAGGGGCATCAGGCATCCTGGTTCATCTGAAGACTATCACCGAAGCACAGAACTAATGATTTAATACTAAGTTTTGTTACTCCTAAGGAATCTTGTTGCAAGATTTAATTCAAACTCAGACACACCATAAGAATACAAGGTATCTGCACTGGGCTGGATCAAGCATCCCCCCAGCCTACTATCTTCTCTGGGTGACCAAAAAGTGATGCGTTGTTAAAACTGTAAGAGGATAATTGCGAATATTTTCTATCTAGTTTAGGCATTTTCAGTTCAAGTCAGTGACAGGTGAAATTGTTCAAACATTATCAGCCTTAAGGTAACAACCAAAGCCTTTTACCCATAGAGTAAATCAAGTGTCTCAATTTGAGAGAGATGGCACTGACTTGCAATTCTGTGACAGCTTTAGGACAAAAGATATTACTATGTGTTCAGAGCATAAGTAGGCCACATTAATATTAAGAGAAGTCACAGGATTTCCTCTTACCTGGGCATCATATTCCTCAGTTTTCTTTTCAGAGTCATTGTATGTACCAAACTGCAAAATATATAAAATAGATAATTAAGTCAGAATTGTGGTAAAAAGTATTTTGACCCAAATGACAATTTTAGCATCATACTATGTTCCAAGAAGCCATCTTATTCCAAACAAATGATCATTTCAAAAATAGCACATTTCCTACTGACACAGAAGTTTGTAACATCTACTGCACAACTGCCTAAATGGAGGTTTGAACCGTTTAAACTACTACGAGACACACAGCCTAGTAATAGTTCAACATTCTTTTATGCTTCTATGCAAGACAGTCACTACAAATGATGTGAGCAGCCTACTCAATATAGGCTAGCTACAACATACATCTTTTCCTTCATATTTTACATTGAAGGTTCAGGACTCTTCTGCTTTGAGAAGTGCTGTTGAGACAGCTGTTGAGTTCAGCAAATGAGAGCAGAGTCAAACAACTGGGAGGTTGGCAGGTAGGGRTAGCAGTTACTAATAACCATAACCATTTCATGCACAAATAGGTCAACTGTGAATCATCTCCACTTTCGTTCTGTTTCTCTGAAGAGAACTGCTAACAGTTTTCTCAAGAAAAGCCAGTGAAGACAAAGGTTCGGAAATCTTTTCATCAGAATTAAACACATTCCAAGAGTTTACTTCTTGGAGAGAAGATGAATATTCAGCAAGTGACAAGACAACTTGTCAAGYAAGACAGCTTTGAAAACACTGTATTCTAAAAGAAAAATACCTGTTTTTTTTTTTTTCCCCGTCAATCCCTTTATGGGTTGCTCTGATTGTCTTTACTATGCAGAGGTTTTTAAAYGTTAGCACAAGGTAGACTGAAATAATAATGTTCTTACATCTAAATAAGCAAYTCAACTAACTATGCTCTTGCAGGTTTAACAAAAACCAAGAACACCCTTCCCCACACCACCCCCCCAACAACCAACCAAAAAGAAAACAATCAAAAAAAACCCCAAAACCCTAATAAACAAACCCCAGCTGCAAGAGGAGAGAAACTTCGAAGACAGCTAAGAATTGCAAAGTTGTTGGGATTGTTCAAAAGCAATTACTTGAATACTGCCAAGGGAGATAACAGGGCTATTAGCCTCTTAAGAGGCAGACTTCATGCAGCAAAAATATGCCAGAATTTCTTGTTATGTAAACACTGAGGATTACACAACTGTTTCTCACAGATAAAAAAAAAAGAAAAAGGTTGAATATAGACACTCTTTGTATAAAAGTGCTTTTCCAACACAGCGGCAGGAGTTCAAGTCCGTCCATTARGAATCAGGGGGGCTGAGAATTTTGAAGTTTCCCATATAATAAATACATACAAAGTGTTCATCCTTCCACACAAACTGATCAAAACCACATTTGTCATTCACAGCTACTCATGCAGGCTTTTGTATTAAGTCATTCAAAAAGAAAARACGTGTATACAAGGCTTTTCTAGTTCTTATCTTCCTTTTAGTGAAAGCCAAGTTGCACAGTAACCTGAAAGGAGACAAGAAGTTCACAGCTTTACTCATAAAGGGTGACATTTACCGTACCTGAATTTTGGGTCTTATGCCTTGCCACTTGATTGTCATTTTCAAAGCTTTCTTTACTTTCCAGAGCTGTGGTTAACAAAACAAATTGCACACACATAAAGTTATCTAGAGGAATTTCCACGAGATTCAGATAATCAAAAGGTCATACCTATAAAACCAGCAATTGCCTGACCATGGCAGCCTGCCCTGCGTGTTCATGACTACAAGCTGAAAGCCATGGCACCAGACAGGCACATCACTGTGAGTCTGCTTAATTAACTCCCCATATTTGATGATCTACCTGAGGTGAAAGAACTTTAGTCTTTGCAGGATATCTGTATTTCAGAGCTACTGTGGAAGTCAGTGGCACCAACACACCTCAGCTTAMCTGTCCTCCAGTAACCACCTGCCAAGGACGTTTCGTCCGTGCCTTCAAGAGCAGCTGGGTCTCCAAGACCCAGGTGCCTCTGAACTCCAAGCACYGACAGACAGACCCTTACTCAGTCACTATGTTTCAGCATCAGAGTACAGGCATTAAAGCTAAGTCAGTGAACCCACAGGATGGCAAGGCTGTTACAGTCCACCCCTAATACAGTCCGAAGTGCTTATTTAAAAATTCATTCCAGTATGGACCCCACTGTATAAGTTCTACAGGTAAAAAAGTACAGTAAGTTCAGCAGGAAAGTACAGTAAGTTCAGTTCCATGAAACTTATGGGCAAGGTTGGTTTTGGACTTAATTTTTTTTTGTTTGAATAATGACACCAATATTGTTCTCCTACCCATCATATCTTCCAAACAAAACAGAACAAATGGGTAAATAAAATCCTGTACGGTCAGCTTTGACACAGGAGAGAAGGCTGCTCATTACAGAAGTAATGTCATGGTTACCAACTGCGTGAGAAATAGGTGTTAAAGGTAAATTGCGAATAAGTACTCCCAAGCAGCCAACTTTCTGTTCAGATGTATGATCTCTATGTTTATTCCCACTTTAGATAAGCATGTCACCTCGCCATCCCCTGACATCAGAGATATTTTACTTCAGCAACCACTCTGACAACTTCAACCACAACTTTTTCCCTCAACGTGAATTCCCCATAATGCACCCATATAATTCTTTAAACTCAAGTTTTCCCAGCTTGCAACCCCAAAGCAACATATTAGAAAGTAAGGCATATAGAGAGAAACACGACAGGAGACAAATAGTCATAAGGACTACAGGTCTCCRAGGGCTCTGATTTTCTCTTGCCGATTGCTCTTTGGGCAGCTCCAACAAGAACCTCTGACAGGCACAAGGTCTGTGGAGACCTTCAACAAATGAGATCTGGATGTGCCTGTTTTTTATAAAATGGTGGACAATAAATCCATCTTCTGTATAAAACAGGAATAAAGAATCTTAAGGTTTCAACTGAGTTTAAGTCTTGAAATGCAGCCGATCCCGTCTTTCACTCTACTATAACCCAAACTGTCTTTATTTTGCCAATACACACTCTAAAATCATTTAGTCCTTTTGGATTTCTCAAATATTTAGATTCAAAGATTTTTTTTGATTCTTAAAATCCAAATAAGCTAAAATCAAAGATATTTAGCATTATGAGCAGCATACTTATAGCAAGTTATCATATTGGATACATATTTTTCCCTTAAACCTAGCTGAAATTCAAGAGAGCTAAAGAAATTTTGAAATGAAAGGTTAAATTTAATGCTTGGAGGACAAAACTAGCAAATACAATATAAAAACAACACAGAGATATGCCATATTTAAATTTTTTTTTTTTCTATCTCAAATACTAAATAACTATTTTTGTAGTCAAGGAACTGGCACTATTTGGGATATCACTATTTGCAGTTTTCACTAGAGCCTAAATATGCAGTAAGTTGAWTTTTTAAGGGTCATATTTGAGACTCTAAATTCAGCAACTTAATCACTACCTTAAAAGAGCACCCMATCAAACGAGTGTGTTCTGAACTATTTTGTCCTCACAGAGAAGACAAAATCGCTGTGACTGCAACTGCATGAGATGCAGAGTCAAAAATCCCACAAAGTCCTCAACTTAGTTTTAAATACTGAAAAGCAACAACATGTGCAGGGCTTGCTACGCAGAGAACTCTCTTCCCAGCACTGCGGAGGCTTCTAAGCAGTTTCTGCCAAGCGCTGCCTGGACGTGCTCTGCTGAAGGGACGACGAAGCAGCATCTCGCAGTCTCCCCCTTCTCTGCCCTCGCCAAGGCCTCAGCTGTGGCCTGGCAGAAAACTGCAGCACGGCGGCATCTTTCCCCCTGCTCTCCAACAAGTGCTTCCATGAAGGCTCCCTGACATGGATATTCAGGCCTAGCCCCATGAGTGATGCCCTGTGTTTGGCRCCACAGTAACAAGCTGGCCCTTCCCAGAGAAAGCTTGTACTTCCAATTTATTTATTATCTAATAGAGACGTAATCTCCTCTACCCAAGGGCCAGTTAAAYACAGCAGACTCCAACAGTAATTTTCCACAACTAGTAACTATTTAATATTTCCATAACTAATAATCAGCTTAGCATTATTTTATAATTTACTGTACAAAAAGAATCTTTTATAAAAATACTCTAGAAACAATTGATAGATGTTCCTGTGAATACTAACAATTAGTTCTAAAGCTTTATCAACTTACCTCAATCACTGCACCGATGCCTGCTGGAATCARGACCAACAAGCTTGTTTGTTCATCCAAAAGGAAAAGAAATATTACAACAGTACTAAAGCACCGCCAGAGAACTAGACAGAAAAAAAATATATGCTATTAATATTTAAACGAATAGTTCAGACAACAGAAAACTGTTGGCCTATTTACTATAATTCTATCTCATTCAAGTAGTATAAGCGTGAACTGCTTCTCCATCCATCTTTATTATGYAAAGCAGTTCTAGAAAGCCCAGTTACCTACATACCTCCAAGCAGACTGCATAGAAAGACACCTAGCAAGGCACAAAACCTTTTGATGAAGTCCTTATCACAAGAGATGAAAGGAAAACAGTATTTAAAGACTTCTGTACTGCAACAATTCAACAATATATCAGTACAATGAACCATACACTGGTGATTCTTGTCTCAGGAAGCTGTAAGATACCAAAGTAATGCCAGTCTTGGAAATTCATGCAACTAATTTAATGCTTGTAAACTGTTAGTAAACTGCTTGTACAATGAATCCACTTCACTCACTGGCTTTGAAAAAAGCAAGTAGTTTACATTTAGGTTATTTTTCAGGTTCTGCAAAATTCTGTACAAGCTTCTCCTAAATAATTCACAGATTAAAGTAGGCAGGGGCAGGAATATGTTAGATCTACAAGATACCTGGACATCAACTATAACATCGCACCATTTCATGGCAATTTCTCGTCCCACACTTCCTACAGGGGAAGGAAGGAGATGCAGAGAGGAAGGAGACTGAAGTTTGCTGAAGAAACTGTGGAATCCTAAAGCCAGACTGCAGACTGGGCACTATGTCTYTGACAGTAAGGTTAAGAAAACCTATACCCATCTGTCTTTCCACTCTGGCTTTTCTCACTTGGCTAATTGGCAATCAGCAATTCTGAGCCTGAAATCCTTGGATTGTTTCAGATCTTGACCTTTTTGTGCATACATACACCAGCTGCAGTATAAACGCCATTTGCTCTCTGACAAAAAGGAAAAATCCCCACTTGAAAAAAGTTTGTTGCTGTTTATCCTAATGTCATAGTGTCTTTTTTTCCTATCTATATTCCTTCCATATTTTAATCAAGGTGTACATATTGCAGAACAAGGAGATACAGTTTTAGAGGGTAAATGACCACATATCTTTCATTTTGGCTTATAAACATAATGGAAAATCTTTTAGAAAAATATGCAGTATTAACAGATTAAATAAGGTTCAGTAGTGTTATGTTTAATCACAAGCACCCACATCTGGCTGCTAATGTCGCTAAGATTAAGAGATTGACAGATGTCAAACCACTCCCCTTCATTAGTCTTTTTCACCTACAATAATGAAACCACAGCTTTATAATATTGTATTATATTTAAATAAAGTTTGTAGCCTGTTATCCTGCAAATCCCAAATATCCTGTTTAGATAAAAACATTACATGTGACAGGACATTCTCTCTAGTCAAAAGATTTTTCATGTCCTCTTTCTTCTCTCTGCAGTTTTATGTTCCTTCGCTGAYGGAAATTTTAAACTCATAGAAAGAAAACATCTCATTTGACCACCTTGGATAAACGTACATTTCAATTTAGAGCAAGAACAAAAGCACAGTATATACTATATAGCACACATACATGTAGCACTGATTTATAAGCCATACCTGCTTTTGTAGACATCCCAATCATGTTTCTCTTTTTCTTCCAGAAACTGATGTCATTTTTGAATGCAAGGAAATCAAAAAGGAGCTACAAATAGCAAAAAAACATGCAATTTGACTGAAACATGCACAAACAACATGCACTACCAGCTGAATTACTAAAAGTTATTTATGATGGAATTACAAGTTAAGATCTGCAAAACCAGAATCAAAGTTACACACCATAAACACAAGCTAAAAAAGCATCTGTTTTAGAAGCCTGTGACAGAGGATGAAGAACTAAGGTCCTTGAGAAGCTGCTCAGCTCCTGGACAGATCAGGGAACTCTATTAGTGCTTTGTGTTGGAGTGATAGTATTTTTTTTTTTCTTTAATTCTGTCCAAACTTAACAATCCTTCAGTACAGTTTTATCTTCATTTCAGCACTATAAAGTTTGTCTAAACTTAAATTTGACTTAAATGTGCTCCAAACATTTTTTTTTTGMCTTTCAGTAGTCTTTTTCAGTAGTTGATATTTGAAAAAGCACAAGTAATTCAGAAAATCCTAGGTCTTTTTATATAAAAGAAATTTTACATTCTTTTTATATAATATATAATATACATATTATATATTATTATTGTATTGTATAATGTATAATTATTTCAATAGTAATTTAATAATCATTTTAATAATGCATAATAAAATAATATGTGATTAATTCAATATTAAGACTATTAATAATTATAAATTTATTGTATAATGTATATTTTATATATAGTATGTAATTTTATATTTATTTACAAAAAGCAATTTTTTATAAAAAGAACATATATTTAAATAGCTCTCAGTCTAGAAGAGCTTCTTAGTCTTCTCAGATTTAGACAGCTTTATAAATAGAATGGCAGAAAATATGTTATTAGTGCGAAATAAAGGATTTCTATCAGTAAATTAATAACATATACTCTAACTATAAAAAAGCATAAGGTGCTCTGCAAGTTCTTAATTTTACAACTGCCTTGTACAAGAGAGCACTTATATTGCTCTAAGGTAATTACTATTTCTAGGAATGGTTCTCAATAAACGAAGTGCAACAATTTTTATGTAAGCTAAATTCTTAAAAATAATTTTCACCACTTACATGGAATGCTGCTACAAAGAATGTCAGAGCCAGAAAATACAGATTAGTATCCACAAAAATTCCTTTTACTTCATCTGCATCCTTTTCTGAAAACCCTAAGAGAGAAAAAAAAAAAAACAAGTAACTGTGCAAGAAATATTATAGTATTAGTTGCTTTTATCCTAGATTCTAGTATGAAAGATTTTTTTTTCCACCCGGATRTATTTTGGTAAGCAATCATAAATCCAAAGCAAGGTAAAATGTAATTCTAGACATATGCCAATTAATTATTTGTCTAGCTTAAAAAAAAAAAAATCTATTAGTCAGAAGGAGTCYTACGTGCCTTTAATAACCTGTGTAGCTACAACCTAAGTTGAACAAGAGATGCACAAATAACACGTACAGAAAGTCATTTTGGCCTGGGAGAAGAAGATTATTCAGCTCACCCTGTGCACTTACACACGACACACATGAAAGCGAGCCTCACAGCAAAAACTGAACATTTTAAAAAAGATGCCCACTAGAGAGGACAAGAGGTCAGTGTACAACTGAACCCTAGGGGCAACAGCATGGCTCCTGAGACTGGATCCATTTCAAGCTTTTCTACAGTCTTTGCAGAATTAACTTAGAAGCTCCTTCTTGATAAAGGGAAAAAAAAAAACCCAAAGCACCTTCTGGAGATCACAGCCCATCAAGGAATGCTTAATTCCCAACTCTCTTACCAAATCTCCTGAAGGAGGGAGGATGTTACCTTGTACAAAAAGGTAGTTTTTTAAAAAAAAAAGAGGTAGTCAGAAAAAACTGCACAGTGGAAAGCTTTGTTGTGCCTGGCTGTATTTCACCCGAGGTATAAGGCTACTTTGCCAGTGACCACTAATTCAGATATTTATCTTCTCAATATCTCCTGCATTCTTCAAAGCTTATATAAACTTAGCCAGCTGTCTTCGCTCCATGAGTATAGGGGGAAGCCATGGGAAAAACACTCTCTTCTACTTTGGCTTCTTATGCTTTCACAGTAGTATTCTCTTTAGAAAATTGTAAATTAACAAATGATTAAATCAAGTATTCTTGTTTCCTATCACATTTCAATATTTTATTTGAATCTTTACATAATTAAAGCAGCTTACACTAAACATTGCCTAAGTATCAGAAAACAGAGTGGTTAAATATCTATAAATAGCAATAAAGTTGAGAAGAAATTGAGATCTTTGCCTTATGCCATTCAGATTTTTTTTTTTAAAGCAGCATACCAAATTGTTGGAGGGAATATACAGCATCCTGCATGTGGATCCAAAATCGGAGTTTTCCAAGAGATATTTTATCATACGACACTGTAAGAGGTAGCTCTGTGGTTGAACGATTTATAACCTGTATTTACAAGAGAAGTGGTTTCCTTTTTAATAACAAAAGTAAATCCATCAGCTATATCAGTTATTTCTTTTTTCTTTTTTTTGAAAATACAAGAAACTAATTATATCACATACCACACAGCCTTTTTCTTTCTTTCTTTTTTTTTTTTTTTTAAAAAAGAAAAACAAGACCTTAAATTTTTGGACTATGATTTTTATTTTTTTTAAGAAATGTTAACTTAGCAGTCTACTTTTTTTCAAGTTTCTATTGCAAACTCACCGTTGCTATAATAGGGAAAGCTTTATAAATGAAGCAGGGAGAAAAGCTGAAGAAATCAGAACTCTGTCAGGAATCTTTGAACTGTCTGACAAAAAAACAGGCAAAAAAGGGGACAGAACTGAAAATAAAGCAAGCTAGTGAGATTTCACTGCTCTTTACCAAAACACACATACACCTATAATCTCCGCATTCTCTTTGCAACTCAGTTACTAACTCCATTTATAAATGATAACATCAGCATTTTTGGGAAAGGATAGAAAAGAAGTTTTATCTGTGCTGGACAGACAGAAAATAAAAAAGTCAGCAYAAATATGGTAGAGTAACACATGGTCAGTGCACTCTATTCAGAAAAAAACAGACTAGTAAGTTGGAGATAGCATAGAAAGAAAAATGGCTTGTAGTACAAGACAAATTATTGGACAATGAAAGCAAATAAACATCTAAAAGCCAGAAGAATTCTTTCCTAATAGACCATTACAGTGAGCAAGTGCTGCTGTGCAGCTAGCTGAGCATGGTGACTGCTAAGCCTTGAAAACCACGAAATTATCAAAGCTCTGCAATACAACCTGTGCTTACAGTAAAGCCTCCRAACAGCACTCAGGTACTACAAAACAGTGTCTGAGTACTACGAAACAATGTGTGAAAAGAGCAAGGTAGTACTACAGAATTAATTTTAACGTGTTCTCAAACCAGAGCCCTGTGCCCTTCCCTCCAATGAAGGGCAAGACTGAAGAACAGGGAGAACATTTAAGTGCTCAATTACAATACAAGACACCTCAGTACTTACCCTAAAAGACCTACATGAGGGTTAAAGTAGTCACCAGTTCAAAAATCTACCAYGGCGCAGAAAATACCTCTCCAACTACAAGGTTTCAGGTCAAACCTATCAAGCAGACAGCACCTGTGCCCCTATTTCCAGTTAAATACTGACCTTGCTGTCCACAAGCTGTATTACCTTGAGTCTTTCTTGTGTTTCACTCATCGTACCATCAGACCACTCTTACTGTAGGACTTGTCAGCAGTTTGGTGAATCGTTATTGGGAAGTTACATAAGTCAGTGCTGAAGGAGGAGTTTGCTAGTTTTGATAGTTTTTGCAGCACTTGTTTTCAAAATCTTGAACCATTTTAAGGCAGATTTACAATACAAGCAACTGCAATGTGTGTGACAGCGGTGGGAATATCRTTAACAAGCTGAGAACACTGAAATTATTTACAAACAGAGGACATGACCAGTTAGAAGCTATTGTGTACTGGCATGAATGCACCGAGCATAATAATGAGCCTTGGTAAGAAACTCAAAAGACAATGAGTGCAGGACATCAATAAAGAAATAGCTAACGAAACACTGGACAAAACCATCTGCTCCTAAGACCKAGGAGTTTGTAACTGAAATGCTCAGGAGGTTGCTTTGTCAACTAGAAAGCTTAAAAAAGAAAAATTAAAAAAGAGTCAGCTCCTAAAAAGCTTCTCCCCAGCATTCAACAACAAAAATCTTTGTCCATCATGAAGTGTATGAATTGGAAAGGTCTGGGGGAAATTCACACCCACTAGGATTAACATTTAGAATAAGACGAACCAAGACATATACAATTATTGGACTGTGAGATTCATCAAGGCTTTTGTTCTCAGTCATTTTTTGGTTGGCAATTACTATTAACTGCAGAGCTCAGCTAAGAGCTGCATAAGGTTCCCATGGTTTAGATGGAGAAAACTGTCATGGGAGACTTCAGCAGCAGAACCATGCAATTTTCTCAGGAAACGGGAGCTGGGGACAAAGTGAAGTACAGAGAATTCCATGTGAATATATTGCTCTARATGATCAGGCTTTGAGCAGGGGGGCTGCACTACACAACCTCCTGAGGTCCCTTCTGACTTCATCCATTCCGGTAAGTCTGTAAGTTCTGACTTGAGTGCACAGAACCAGCAGATGGGTATTTCCAGCTGTACTTACAAGCTTTAAGATGCTCAGGTTACTTTCTAACATTGCACAAAGCACCAGGGCAAAACTAAGCCTCAGTGAATGTTTTGGAGGTAAGTCGGTAAGGATTCTCTTCTCTCCCTGTGGCTTCAGTACCAGCTGCACTGAGCACGCTCTTGCCCTAGAAGATATTAGGAGCAACTCCTGGATGCTACCTCATCTTCTTCAGCCAGCTTAGGGAGTCAAGCTGCTGGCGAGGCTGTTCATGCTGCTGCAGTGTCCTCCACATCCACCCCAGAGACAGCAGCAAGGGAATCCAGGTATCTTTTGGCAGAGCAGAAGGGAGTGTTGGCAGCTGCATCTGCCAAGGGGGTGTCTCAAAACCCAGATCCAGCTTCCACAGTTGCCACAGTTGATCACATTAAATGAAACAACAATTAAGATCACTGAGAGTCCTTTTATTAATTTCTTAGGTTGTTTGCTGTAATAAAAAACTAAATGACAAAATCTTAATTAAAACAATATTCAAGATTGCTGTTAATATTGTTAAATGTAATTAAAGGTATTCTATTACTCACCATCAAATCTTTCACTCTGTTGCTTAGCTGATCAATAAATAATATTGGAAGGTAATGCAATGTCTTCCCCAAATGAACCCTAGGATGTTTAAACATGGATTTTATGACTGTCATGATCTACAAAGAATACTACTTTTATTACAGTTAGCGCTCTATCACTGCTTTCAGATCTACCCATATAGGTATTTGCCACTGTCTTTTCAGGCTTTTTTTTTTTTTTTTGTAAAAACACAGGGCAAGAGAGAAGCAATAGGACTAACTGAAAGATGAAAGTTAAGCATATCATAGTTCTCTAGCTTCTGCTTTGACTTTTCAGTAGAGAGGCAGAATAAGCAATAAGGAATGAAAGACAAATGACATTAGCTGTGATGAAGCCAGAGCTGTCATGTTAACAGWGGCGGCAGGAATTAAAGTCTGTCAAAGTGAAACACACTTAAGTCATTACCACAATTTGTACCCCTTGACTTCTGTAGCAATGTCAACTTCCCCCTACTTGCCCTACCGTGGCTCTACCATCTCAACCAGTAGAAACTAAAACTTAAATCTTTAAGCCCTCAAAGACCTGCATCGAGGGGAAATCATTATATCTTTGGTCAGTGATTTGGCAGACTATCTGTAAATAATTCCTTTGCCAGCAGCTTGGAATAGAGCTTAACCGAGTGCCCTAAGAATAGTAAAGAGGCAACTACCTGCACTGAGATGTACTTCGTAAAAGGAAGTCTCTGTGTGTGCGCTTAGACAGACTGTAAGCTAAGTACACAAGGGACAACTGGCCCTGTCATTGTAATACAGAAAAAGCATTAACTCAAGGCTCAGAAATCTTGTTTAACTGAAGAGGTTTAATTTTATTTTAATTTTCTATGCAACGTCTACTAACAAAGTCACTACTGGGAGAGCTGACAAAGGCTTTTTCATATTCACACTGTTTCCTGTATGAAACAGTGCTGACCATTTAAACACAGCTGGAAGAGAAAACCTCATTCACGAAGCCTAGTGGAACCCTTTCCTGTTCTATACGGACATAGCTTAGAAACTGCAAAGTCTGTCTATTTTGATTGGGAAGCTATCCTAGCCCCTCACTGCCTGTTCATTAAGCAAATCCTTCTGGGTTTGATATGGGTCTTGCAGAGGAAGGCATCAGCATACGGCAACACAAGCCAATGAGGCAGCACTGCACTATTTATACAGCTACCACGAGAAGTCATGTAAGCAAGCTGCGAACAGAAGCTGGTGCCTGCACTTAGTGGCCTAAAAACCCATCCTCGCTTTCTAGTATTTTCTGGAGAAAACAACAAGATGTAGGAGGACACATTTGCAAAATAAAAGAAACCAGTCATGGAGGGGAAATGATAGAACAGGAAATAAGCTCCATCCCTTAAGCACTTGCAGTTTATATGAATAACCCTGACATGAAGGTTAATTGGAACAGTCAAGGAAAATTACCTTAAACACCCCAAGTATGGCTGGAGAACAAGTAGTCTGCGGTAGCATTTCACTTGTGCCTTTGCAGTTATAATTTGTCTCACTATAACGACATGCAAAAAAAATTTCACACTCAGCTGCCCTGAGCAGCTCATATTTTGTTCTCATATTTTTATGTAGTAGAAAACCACATTGGAAATATGTTATTAATTATCACTATTGAAAAACAAGCACTAAGTATCTAGTCTTATCTCCCAAGGTCTGATTCAAATATAAAATACTAAAGAAGGACAGGGAAGACTTTCAGAAAAGTGTGTAAGAAGTCTATAATACTGAAACTAGAAAATTAAATCATTAACTTACATCTTCATGTAGCGGTGAACATCAGCAGGGAGGGACGACCCATCGAAGATAAAATCTTCCACCATGACATTTAAGGTTAACCTTGACCTCCAATGTGAGACAGGTTCATCTAATGCATTGGTCTGTTTTTCTGCTTCAATTTGCTTTAAAAGTATAATAAACATACATTTTTTGCTGAACAAAACAGAATTTTGAATAAGATTTTTTTTGAATTTCAAGTTGTAGAATTTCAGCTCATAGAATCTATGGAGCCATTTGCTCTATCACTGATCAGAAGCTTATTAAGAAACCCTTTCCCATCCGGTGCATTATCTGGTCAATTATTTTTGTGCAATTATAACAGAACTGACCATACCAGCCAACCATAATTTGACAGTGAAAGACTCCAGTATCCATTCACAGTCTTGCTTAGCAGGAATGAATATTGAACTAATTCAAGTTAATACTTCAGGAATCTGAACCTCATCAGAAAAAGTCACTTGAAAATAAGGACATCAGAGCAGTCAGACATTAATTCAAAAACCATTTGCCTGAACTTCTGAACTGCTGAATGCTGTGTAAAGTAGTGCTGAAACTGAACGAGGCCTTGGCTTTCAGTATGTTGGACTGTGGCCTCAACTCAYCCTCAGCTTCATATACACTCTAATTGGATCTAGAAACAGCAATGCAGAAACAACAACGCTGGCTACAGCCACGTTTCAGACAACAAGGGGTTATATAAAAAAGATCAATACTCTAAAACAAAAATGGCTCCACTTGAACRCTGTGCACAGTAACCACTACAAATATTTCATTCTCTATCACTGTATATTTTTCCCAGTGAGCAACTTCAGCATTTGACAAAGGATACTAATCTTATTCACTTGAATCGTAGGGGGAAATAAAAACACACTGAAGAAACAGAAGCACTCTCCGCTTCAGTAACTCACCAGGATCAAAATCAGGCCTCTTTCAYACAAGCAAAGCACAATATTTTATATGAATCCAATTTACTGTGCAAAGCAGGACAAAACAATTTCTATCAAAAGTAATGAATCCTTGAAGCTAATTAGGGAAGAGTTTTAATAGCAGCTGGTCTTATAACGTGCTCCACATGCACTCTGCTGAGTGGTCTAGCATTACTGTACAAGCTACTTATCAAGAAGAGGATTTTGTTTGATTGATGTATAGTCTATCAACTTTCAGTTTTTATTTTCCTCTTCAATGTATGAAAAAAAGTGTAATGTATAATTTAGCCTCAATCGAAGTTTCATCCATGGTTAAGGYCACTACAACTTGGAACTGAAAAAGGCCAAGATTTATGCATAATCTATTTTGACATTTATATATTATAGTTGGAGCTACAGAGGCCTTAGCTGCAAACAACATGAGCAGTCTTTCCCTAAACTAAGTTTTTCTCATAATATTTTCTCATAATACAACATATACACCATACACCCAATGTCACGTTGAAGTCAAAAAGGCAAAAACTGAGTTGTGTCCCCTAATTTGGGAATGCATGCTTACTCTGCTTTCCAGGTCTTCCTTATTGCAGGACAGTTTTCAACGAAGTGCTAATCCAGTTTACAGACTCTTAAATTAATTTACCAGCAAGCAGAAAAAAATATTTCATGATACCTCAAAGAAAATCTTCATTAAAATATTTTTCTTGTTGAACTGTGAAAAAAGATACCTACTTGTGTGTCCGATTCTCCAGTGAGCAAATTAATCTCTTCTGGTTTAGGAACCATATACGTAGTCAGAGGACTTACGATGTGCACCTGCTTACCATCATGCCACGGCAAAATGCCAGCATGGTGAAGAAATATATATGCATATAGTGTTCCATTATTCCGGGTTTTCTTTGGTACGGAGACATTGACTGTCCTAAAACGCAAAAGCAGCACATTATGAGATGACATAGCACAAGCTGAAATATTGATCTTTACCTTACAGTATAGTAGGTGTTGTGGAAATGAGCAAGAGGAGGCGTTGCTCTCCACACAATAATTACTTCAGGCTCACATGCCTCAACCTGCCTGCACTGTGTGGGATCAGTTTATATCATCCAGGATGTGCCACAATATTTGCATTAGCAAGGTCTTACTGTCCTCTTAAATTATCTTAGTCCTTAGTCAATTCATCTCGTCTTACCCTATGCAGCATAGAAAGACTGCACCATCGCTTGTCTAGTTGCTTTCCCATGACAATTGCTCACAGGGCCAAAATTATCATGGAATATATAAATATAGCTTTTATGTGTTGAATATATACCAAAAATGTTCAGTTTTCAAAAAAAAAAAAAAAAAGAAAGAAAAAGTTTTCCAAGACTTTGCACCACAAGCAAAGAACTCTACAACAGAGAGATACTCTAGAGAATTTACAGAATTTCTAGAGACTGAAATCAAGAAATCATAACCCTTGAATTAACCAAGAAATCATCACACTTGCTACTTTGGGCTCCAGATCCCTTTTCCACTCTTGATGAATACTTAGAAGGGGATCAAAAAACTATCTGACAGACCAGAGAGGAAACAACTACTCCTGTATTTATCAGGGAGGCTTTGCTTGCCAGGGAGYTGTTTTTTTGCAACTGTGAGATGATAGCTCAATGCAGGAAAAGTCTGTGAAACAGACTATTCTCTAGTGCCACATGAGCTTATCTCACCCTTTCCACCAAGACCCTTTCCACTTTATCAACACTTAAAGGTTTAAGAACCTTTAATATATATATTATATATATATTTAACCTTTAATATATATACTTATATGTATATATTTTTTATATATATATATATTTATAAAATGCTGTCTTTACATATAGATATATATATAAAACACTGCTTTTAGATATAGGAATTCTTTATGCTAAATGGAAAGTCTGGCACATTACCAACTTCTTTGCTGCCTTAACACTGGGAATATGGTTACTGATTTACTAAAACGCATGGGAACTGAACAGTCTGTAGAAGATGCAATAGTAACATTAACCCAAAATGGAAAACACACAAGAACAGCAGCAAAAACTAATTCTCTAAACACTACTGTTATTAACAGACAGTCCATCTCTTGTCACTTATACGTGCACACATGTGATCACTAGTTAGGATACATTCTGAAGAACGCAGCAAAGAACTAACACTTACCTTTCAAATTTGGACTCAATATCAAAGTCTTCCACGTTCAAAACTAGATCTATATTATTCTCAGCACCAATGTGTGATCTTGTCGTAGTGTACACACTTAGCTGAAATTAAAAGGCAACAGAGGTCGATCAGGGCACAAAAATGTTAAATTCRTATGTCAGAAAGCTCAGAGGGCAGTTCTGTAAGTCAACTTCAGTAACCTTCCCTGGGGTATACGGGTTATACACACTGGGAAAGAAAATTATCCACTCAAGGAAGTTTTCTTTTAATTAAAAAAAGGTTCGGCTTCCCCTGCTATCCCTTTTGGGACAGAAAGGCAGCACAGCCACTACAGGGGGTTTTATAGGATCCCTCCCGCAGGGAGGGGCTATACGTGAAAGCAAAGTAAGCTTTTTTCATGCTAAGTAGAAACACTTTTCCAGTAAGTTTGCTCCATTTACTACACGTGCGAGCAGAAAAGCTCAGAGAACATCCCCCGCCCCGCGCTTCAGCCGGGGCCGCCACCCACAGCGCAGGGGGAGGCTCCACAGGGCACTACCAGCGCACTCAGCATCTCCTGCCCCTCCACCGCGAAACCTCCCGCGCCGAAGCCGCCGCGGGGCTGAAGCCACCCGACCACCCGGCCGGCGCTCACCTGCAGCTTGGGCCGCCGCGCCAGGTAGGGCCACACGCAGCCCGCGGCGCCGCCGGCCGCCACGGCYGCGGGGCAGGGCCGCGTGTACACGATGCCGTACATGACCCAGCACGTGTGCGCCACGTACACGGCGAACACCCCCACCACGAGGCTCGTGAAGGAGCTGCGGCTCAGCATGGCGCCCGCCCCCCGCCTCACGCGGGCCGCCCCCGCCTGCCCGGCCGCCCGCACCCGCGCATCCTCCGCCGCCAACCGACACCGCCCCGTCACTTCCGCGACGCAGCGGAAGCCGGAAGCTCCCCGCCTCGTCGCCCGGCAACCGCCTCRGCGTCACCGCGCCTGCGCACGGCAGCGCTGGGGCGCCTTATATCAACGGCTGATGGGCGGGGCCAGAGGGGCGGGGCCAACAGTRGCCTCTCCCTTCCCCACCCCAATTCGCGCTGTCCTCCATCTCACAACTTTGAGCCCTATTTTATGGTTAAAGTCAGCCCTTTTAATTGGTAACTAGGTAGCGTTGCTCAAAACAGACCACACCGTGATCACATACTCTGGAATTAGTTTCGTTTTAGGCACTTTGTCCAGGGTAATCTGTATATAAGCAAGGAACCAAAAAGATGCTTGCCTTATAGAGAGAAAAGGAAGACTGTATCTTAAAAACAAAAAAAAAAAACAAAAACAAACAAACAAAACCTCACAACTCAAACTGATATGTAGAATGCTGTCATGAAATGTCTTGATTTGGTCAGATTTAAAACCTTACCTTCATACGAGAATGTGCAACATTGCTACACAACTGATAGGGCTTCACTAAAAGAAGAAATAACTTATTCTTGACAAATACTGTCAAATACTGCATTTGCTTTTTTTTTTTTTTTTTTTTTGAAAAGAGGATGAAATTGTACTTACTTGCTGTTGTCTACACATGTTTTTTATTTCACAGAAACCTCAGCTTTACTAACCTGTGTAGGCCAGGGAACGTTGCTTCAAATCTTCATTCATCCTATAACTTGAAATTAGAGACAATTTAAAAAATATATTAACAGCAAATCTTCACTTAAAGCATTCACATCATGAAGCATATATATAATTTCTGGGATAAACTCTCCACTGTTTAACTTTTTAATGCAAGTTCTAAACATATATATATATATATATATATATATTTGTAGGAAAAAAGACTAATATGCTAATCCCTTCCAAGGAGGAACTGTAGAACAACTGTTTTTACAGTGGTGGTAGTTACAATAATGGTGTATTAATAATATGGAAACATTTGGGTGCAAACTAACTCATCAGAATCAAAACACTCTAGCACATTCAGCTAACATGACTAAGGGCAGTGCTACTTAAGCAAACAAGAAGAACAAACACCTATCAGCATCACTTGGGGCTAGCTCGCAGCAGGAATGCAAAAACATTTTGCTTTTTTCATAGGAAAGTTTTAAGCTAGTCCTAGGAATCTACTCTTCTTCCAAAATAATGTGCTGAAGGGTGTTGATTGATGTGCATCAAAGCCTCTTGCTGCTGAGAGCACCTGATGTCAGTGGGTGCCAATGCCTGATCACCAGCAAAAATCACAAAGGCAAAAGGTGTAGATGAGAGATGAGCCAGAGAGGGATCATGGCCTCTTGATGAGGAGCTATTGATTTGGTTCCCTAGCAGGACACGTGGCTAGGGCTACTCCTCAGAGCCTCTCAATCCTGAGAATGGTCAAGGTTGATAATGGTCGCAGTGTAGTGAGAGCAGAATGGGTCCAAGAAGCCAAACTGTAGATGCCAGTCAAGAGTTTGCATTATCCTTGTTACCTCTCGATATCAATCCCTATTCATAGGAAAGGCAGTTGTGCTGGAASACTCGTGAGGTTGAGAGGAACAGGTGTCTATCAAGGGGAATTGCTGTCCTTTTTGCACAGCAGGGATGCCCCCAGCAAGAGCTCTTTAGAGATGCAGCTCTTGCTAATGGATCAATTGATAATATTCTTCCCATGAGAAGGTTATAAGTCATTTCAAATGCTCTTTTATTTAGCATGCATTAGTGAACTGCATTGGGGAAGACAGATGCAATCAAAGAAATCTGCTGCTTTGTGTCCTTTGCCTTTTATCTCTGCGGAGAAGATGAAGGAAGAGGAGGGTAGTCAACAAATGGTTTCTGAAATAATGCTTAGTTTGAAGCTCTTACCCAGGTTGTGTTGTGGCTCTTGCCATGTTATGTTTTTCATCTGTTTGTCTAAAGAGAACTATAGATTTTTTTTCTTTCCTTTTTCTTTCTTCTTTTTTTTTTTTTTTTTAAATTCCCTTGATGACGAGTTTCCAGAGAAAGGGTTATCTGTCTGTTTTTACTAACTGAACTGAAATTAAGTCCCTTGGGGTAAGAAAAGCTTCCCAATGCATTTTGAGCCATGCATTAAATCAATGCTTTTGTCACAATAGCTCAGATATTAAACTAGCACTGGAGAAGTGGGAAAAAATCGGTGCGGTGATTTTGTCAAAGTTTTTAGGAAGTTGAATGGACCACTGGCACAAAAAAGCAAAGGGGACCATGTCCTCTCATGGCCTTCAGCCTGAGTCCAGCCACCTGCAGGCGGTTCAGTTCCCTGCCAGAAGAGAGATAAGCAGGGATGCAAAAAAAGGAATCCTAAATAAGGGTCAGTGCTGGGGCCAGCACTGGTTAACGTGTGACCTAAGGGCTGGCCTGGTGGCACAGAGCAGACCATCCACACGGTTGTGAATGGTTCCCGACTGGGCAGGGCAGGAAGGACATTGCAGAGAAGGACCTGGGGTTGTCCTGATGAACAACAGCTTGGACATGAGGCAGGCACTTGTTCCTGTGTCAAAGGTGGCCACCGGTATCCTGGGCTGCATTAGGCAGAGCATTGGCAGCAGGCTGGGGTATGTGATCCTGCTCCTCTACTCCACACAGTTGAGGCCACACCTGGAGTGCTGTGTCAAGAGCTAGGCCCTCAGTACAAGAGAGACATGGGGCTAGACCAGTGAGGGCTCACCAAGATGGTTAAGGGGTGGAGCATCTGTCAGCTCCTCAGGAAAGGCTAAGAAAGGAGGGATAGTTCAGTCTGCACAAGAGAAGGCTCAGGGACAGTCTTCTCAATGTGTAGAAACACAGGAAGGGTAAGAGTGAAGACTACAGAGACAGACTTTTCCCAGTGGTACTCTGTGAGGAGCCAGGAGAAAGGTCTGTCTCAATGTATGAAAACTCTTTACTGAGAGAGAGTGTGTGGGCACTCGACCAGGTTGCCCAGATAGGTTGTGGAGTCTCCCTCTTGGCACACAGTCCAAAATCTGCCTGGATATGGTCCTGGGCAGTCTATTCTAGGAAACCCTGCATGAGCAGGGGAGTTGGATGAGAAAAACTACCAAGAGGCTTTTGAGCTGCAGCTAACCTTGTTTTTCTGGCAAAACTGCAGTTAAACTGTCACTTCTGCTAGGGTACAGTTGGACTTTCTTCTGCTTAAAGGCCRCTGAAAGAGCAATCTCCCCTAGTCCATCTTCAAGGAAATCAGTGAATGGACAAACAGTTCTTACAGCTCTGGCAAGTCYGCCATCAAGGCACTTGATTTCAACCATTCTTTGGGACAGCTGTGGCACTATCRAATGCAACATGCAGAGGTAAAAGGGAAGACTCTGCCGTTCATCTGAAAGGAAACTGCCTTTTGGAAGTGTTGAATGAGCCCAGGACGCTCCATCTGCCCWTCTGTGCCACAGAGGAGCTCAGCACTGCAGCACCTCTGTGGCCCTATGCAGGGCTCCACCAGTCTGTCAGGCATCTTGGTGGGAAGGGGGCTCCCAAAGCCAACCCTGCAMTCCAGAGGAACCCTCACAAGTACCAAACAGCGAGGCAAATAAGTATCTTGGCCATTTGGACAAGCCAGCCCTAAGGAGGCCGATAGCCTGGAAGGCACTCCCTGCTGGAGGCCAGCACATTTTCCTGCTGGAATTGAAGCCTTTGGCTTCTCCAGAGGAGCACTGCTCCTTCCATCGCTATGGTGCTCTTATCTGTGCACCTCCAAGGAGGGCCTTGTGCCATTTTCAGCCCCACGTTAGGTAGCTTTAGAGCAAAGGAGCTGGAGATGGCTGCACCCATTCACCTTCCTCACCACCGACCAAAAACACCCGCTTCGGGCCCCCAGGGACCCTGGCAACCCTCCGCCTCCCTCCCCCTGTCGCCGTGGCGCAGCCCCCCAAGGGAGCCCGGCCCTCCCGTCGCTTCTCCCTCGGGGTCAGGGCTGAAGACGGGCCCCGTGTTCAGGCCCCAGGGCATGTGGGGCAGGAAAGAAGGGCTCGCACGACACTTGCTACTCAACAATTCTTTTATTGATTGGCCYGTGGTGGTAGGCGGCTCATGGTGAGCAGCCTGCAGGTGTTTTCTTCTGCAGCCCCTTCATCCTGATGGTCTGAGAAGGGGGATGGAAGAGGGAGAAGGAGGGGTGGGGAGGGGGCAACYGGCAGCTGCACGCTGCGCCCACAGATGTTATTGGGCCACGCAGTCCCTCATGAAGATGTTGCRACGAGGGACTGGTGGCCGGGCGCAGCGYGGTGGCCATACGGCCCCCAGGCTCTCCTGGGACGGCTCTGCCATGATGTTTTCCGTCAGGCCATCCCAGGTCCTGGGGGCTGCACGCAGGCCACCTTCGCTGGAGGTGGATSCACCTCCATCAGCTCTTCCTGAGCCTCCAGGGGATCCACCTCCATCTCTTCAGGGGAATCCTGTGGAGGAGGGTCCACATCCATAGGTTCTTCTYCTGATGTTCTTCTTTTCTGTGTGATGTAATTATCCTCTCCCATGATGCCATCCAACAGCTCCTTCCTTCTGACCCTCCTCCTTCTGATTCCCCTGACAGCAGCCACCGGTTGCATTTTCAGGACTAYAGGGAAAGGTTCACAAAGCAGGAAGCAGGAAACTCAAACCACCACCAAGACACCAGCACAAAGCCAGAGCCTCAGTGAGCTCTGGGTCCTGCCAGCGCTGCCCCTTCTATAGGGTCATATATATGCTTCACAATATATATGCATACATATGCTTCCATGTGCATATATTACACACCTTTTTCAGGAATTACATATATACTACAAATGTCTAATGCTGGACTTAGCTGCCTGTTTTCTGTACTCAAGGCTCTCTTATTTGTTTCATTCAACAAATCATTATTTTCTTCATCCAAG